TTTGGTTATTCTGCGGTAAAGTGTTGCAGATATTAATTTTTTTCGAAATTTAGGGCCCCACTTTGGAGGCTAATAACTCCTCAGGGGTGCAACTTTGTATATAGCTAAGTTTGGTCAATTTACAATATTTTGGACACCCCTACATGCACCTGTCCTGTGTCGGTTTTATGCGGGACACCCTGTATTTACCTCAAAACAATTATTTATTTAGTTAATTCAAGAAAGTCTCCGAATATAACGAGAATATTTTTGAAAACTAATAGATCTATTCTAGAACAAAGAAAAATGTATATGATATACGTTATACCTTAATATATTAATTAATCAGTGTCGATTTTAATGTAATACAAAACAATTCAGAACCTATTTCAATCTTAGAACCAGATAAAAACAATTCAACCATGACATTTCCAGTCGGTTCTATAATTAATCAATAATTCCATCGAGATTTGCTATTTTTGCATATATATTTACTTGTTTAGAGAAAAATTATAGATTCAATATCGACATGTAAATTTAATGAAGCAGTCGTTTCTGACCAGAATACAACGCACGTTTTATTTACATTCCTTCAGGACACACTATTCAAGTATTTTATGTCCATTACGTATTTTAAATACACCATGAACAGTTGCTGTAGTAAAACATTAAAAACGAATATTTGAATATCAAGCATAATAAAAATAGAAGTTATAATTTTTATTGTTAATACTATTTCCAAACAATTTAGTTCTGAAACAGTGAAATTACACTGTATTATTTTTTTTTAACAAAATATAGTTGCTATTAAATAGTAGAGTGACTCACTTAATCATTATTACAAAGTTATTTATTACGATTAAGTAACTTTTAGGAATGCAGGAGTTGAATAAAAATAACACTAGACAAATAAAACTTGGATAATCCGCGAAACTATACACTATCGTTTTCTAACGTAATGTTAATTAAACACTTAAATTCTGGATTTTCGTTGTTCAGTATAAATTTTTTTGTCACGCCACTGATGAACAAACGTTGCCTGTGCAAATATTTAATAACTCTTCAAAAAAACACCTAATTAGTTAGCAGGAATAATATTCAGGTAGATAAATATTGTTAGATAATGTTAATGATTTTTCATTTACCAGAAGTCCATACGTTGAAATTAATAATAATAAATGAAATGAAAGTAATAATAATCGATCGTAATGTGGGTATTTAACAATTATTTAAGACTTAAGCATACCGCAAGCGGCTGTTGAACAAATAGTAATTAAAAAATAAATGATATGTCGAAGGAAATATGTCTGAGTTAATAGATCACACCTAAAATATCGAGAGTGAAGGGTACATGAACTAATGTGGACTGATACAGAGTGGATCAGCGAAATTGGAAGAATAATCTCGATATCTTAAAACATGTATCAAATTAGGTATTTGATATCTTCATTATTATTTTCGAATTACAGGACTGAATTAAATTAAAAAATATCCTAGATGAACTTTTTTGTTATAGAATTAGTTTCATAGTTACAGAGCTATGACACAAAAATACATTTTTTTTAATAAGAATCGTAGCAGGCTGTGATCTAGAAATTGCTTCGTAGAAATAGTTGGTTGTGATAAAAATTAATTACGCTGTACAATTCGAAAACAAACAAAAAATATCACGTACTTGATTTGAGTTTTGAATGTGTCTTGAAATTCGAGCTCGACAATATATCACTAGTTTTTCATTTTTACTCTATTTTAGTTAATAATAGTTAAGTTAGTTAATTCAAATAAATTCGAAGTTTTTAAATCTTATCAAATGAATTGTTCGATAACAGACATCTAAGTATACAAAAAGAAATCTGACCACGCAGATGAGACTCCTAACTACTGAGATTGCGAGAAGCTAGTTGATAGAACAATCTCAAGTAAAATATGGAAACAAAAATATCTAGATCTCTTATAGTAACTGTTTTATACAGGATATTTTCTTGAATTATTGAATTCAATATATATCACTATCAGATATGCATTTTTGGATTTTTGTATTATATTTAGACATATTATTTTTAATTTTTATTTTGGATGATTACACAGGCCACAAAAAAAAGTGAGAAGTCCGAAAGACAAGACCACGATATTTATATGTTCTTGAAGTCGCTGAATCCTAATCCGATGTCCATTTGATCCCGATCAGATCTAAGTTAAGGTCAGTTCAAGGTCAAATCTAAAGAATCAATTGCCAGCAAAGTAAACCTACATATCTATAACATTTTGGGGGTCGCTGAATCTAAATCCGGTGTCCGTTTGGCCCGATCAGGTTTGAGTTAAGGTTAGTTCAAGGTCAAATGTAGAGAATCAATTGCCAACAAAGCAGACCTACATGTCTATACGTTTTTGAGGTTGCTGAATCCAAATCCGAGGTTCCGATCAGGTTTGCTAAATACTCTCAAGTTCTAAGCTCAAAACAATCAAATTTAGCACTTATGCGTATTAAAATTTGAGTAACAAATAAAATGAAAGAATGTTTTAACTCTTGAGTCCGTGATTCTCGAGTTAATTGTTTTGGCATGATAAAATTGTGGTATCAATAAGCCTAATTAAGTAAGCTTTAAACCAATATGTTCGTTAATGCTTCATGTACATTACTTTACAGTGTCGACTGAGATTCTTGAGAAAAGTTTATTAAAATTTTTTACCTTGATGAATCACATGAAATCACTATATCTCACTATTATTGTATCAAGACTACTACTCACTTTTGTGGTATCGAACTATTTTTTTGTCAAAAAAAATTACGGTGCAAGAATTACACAAGCCGACAAAATGTGATCAAACCAAAAATGTGCAATCTGGTGTCATTCCAAGTCTCGAGCGATAACGAATTTCACTCAACCCTCAAATCTAAGCTACGAAGCCAAAAGTAGTTACCAGTTCTAGAGGATATCTAGCCGACTACGAAGCCGAAGACTTGGAACAGAAATCGAAATTTTTCAGAGCTCTCCACGAAGCTCCCAACCGCTCCCAACGACCAGAGTTACAGCAGACGACGTCAACCAAAAGACGATGCTGATAGTAGAGCGACGTACTTCCCGAATACAACGAAATTTTAGCTTAGGCAACATGAAGACAAATCACCATATCGAACGCCAAGCCCAGATATTAGTACGGATCGATTCCACCTCAGGAAACAAAAAATCCAAAAGTGAAATTCAAAGGCGAAGATCACTGCAGGGCCACACCGAAGCCACCATGGGATGTGACCGAACGTCAACTCTACTGCGCTGCAGTCCATTAAGTAGAACAGATACATGGCTAATACGTACAAAGTACGCTTTCAACCTTTTAAGCTTCTATATTATACATATAGACTCATTATTTATTCATACTAATATATTTTCAATAAACCCCATTTAAAACATTGTTAAAAGTATTTGCTCCGCTTAGGATTTTCTGTGTCTATGACGAAGATCCTAAGGGATAAAAACAAAGCTGCTCAGTGGCTCAATTTCTCTCAAAACTTTATGTGCTGTGGGGAAGATCCTAAGGGATAAAAACAAGATGGCCTAAAATCTAAGTATGTGTCAGGTGCGTTGTTGGAGAATTAGGCAGCAATCCAATACCTCAGAATTTAAGTTACTCTGGAGAGAGTTGGTGGGAAAAGGACTGGTAAAGAGGACAGGATGCGGTACTAAAATCAAAAATAACTATTAGATACCTAAACATTTAACGAGCTGTGCCTTCGCTTGGAAGCAATTTTGAAACCATATTCAAGTGTTTCTTTATTTTTTGGGATAGAACTACTGACTGCCAATACACAGTCACACACAAAAAAGTTGTCTGTACTTTTCATGCGATATATGTTATCCGAAGTATTTTTGCCTCCTGATCACGAATTCGGTGTCAGAATTGAGCTATCACATCACAGGAATTTCCTAACCTCAAAAAATAGGTCAAAAATAGCAAAAATTTAAGAAAAAGTGTTAGGAAAAATAGAAAAAAATGTTTCCTATATTCAAATGTTCAATTATACGGTTAAGACCCTGCTGAACGTGAATCCGCGGTCAGAATTGATAGTTATTTTTCTAACCTCCAAAAAAACGGGTCAATTAAGGTCAGATATCAAGAATTTTCAAAAAATATTAATAGATTGCCGCCAAATTTGGTATACGGTGGTTTTCGGAGTCGCTGATCACGGATCCGGATCCATTTTGCAAAATTCAAGATGGCGGATACAAGATAGTCGATTAAATTTTCAAAAAATAACACATTCGCGCCAGATTTGGCATACGGGGGATTTCGAGGTATAAAGAAAACAAAAATATTACAAAAAGAATTTCACGATTCTGACCTCGAATTCGTAATCAGCGGCCTCGAAAACCCCCATACCTATACCAAATTTGGCGCGAATCTATTATTTTTTGAAAATTTGGTCGGCCATCTTGGATCCGCCATCTTGAATTTTGCAAAATTGACCACGGATCCGTGATCAGCAAACCCGAAAACTCCCGTATACCAAATTTGACGCGAATCTGTTATTTTTTGAAAATTCGTGATACTGACCTTAATTGACCCGTTTTTTGAGGTTAGAAAAAGAACCATCAATTCTGACCGCAAATTCACGTTCGGCGGGGTCTTAACATATAAATGAACATTTGAATATAGAAAAAAAAATTTTTGAATTTTTCCTAGCACTTTTCCGTGAATTTTAGCTATTTTTGACCTGTTTTTTTGAGGTTAGGAAATTCCTGTGTTGTGATAACTTAATTGCGACAACGGATTCCTGATCAGGAGGCAAAAGTAGGTACTACGGATAACATATGTCGCATGAAAAGTACAGACAACTTTTGTGTGTGTGTGTGTGTGTGTGGTTGTTCGTTAAAAAAAACGTTTCGTAACACTTAATTAACACCTTACATTAACATGTAGCGCAGTTTGGGCTAATTTTGAACTGACACAGTTTTTCCGGTCCACCGTGTACATACACACGCATATTAGCGGCGGCCAGTCAAAGACTCCGGCTGAGAATATGGAATAAGACATTCGTTGGCCGTTCAACGGCGAGTATAGAAAGTGCCCAGTGCTCATATCTCCAGTTTTAACTTAGTTACCAAGGATACGCAGTCAATATGAGATCGCTTGTGATTGTTGTCCTTTCCTTTGTCGCCTTCGGTGAGTACCATATTGTTACAGTTTTTCCACCAAATCGTCAATGCCCTTAGAAGCGCTCTTAACTCGCTGATAACGCTATATTTTACCAACCACTATAAAATGTAACAAAATAAAGGAAAATAAATGTGCGCCAAAAACAATTATGTAATTTACCACTTTTTGGAAAGGCAGGGGCAAACAATGGGCAAATATGTGTGCTAAGTTTTTTGAGCGCGTCTTACATAATAGATATTTATGGCTGTTGAAATTTTTATGACAAAATTAGCTTAAAAGAAAATTATTTGGAGCAAGCACGGAACTGTAACTAAGCGCTACGTTTTGAGCTATTTGTTCTTGGCGGTCGTGAGCGTTCAAATAACATATATTCGTTTTCTTGCTCTGTTTGCTCCAGTAATTGCTAAAATACGGTTTTGTGTTGAATGAAAGTTGTACAAACTAGTTTTGTGAATTAAAATGTTGAACGTTACTTAATAAAATACAATATAGGTATCGCTGAAAATATTTTCAGTGAGGGAAACGTTATATACATAATAAATTTACATTATGTATGCAAAACAGTTTTTTTTTTAATTTCTAGGCCTTTACAGTACAATTTTTTCTTAAATACATTTAAAATATGTAGTTCCTTGAGTATCTAATAGTATAATATACTTGTGTACAATATTTTAACTTACAAAATATTTGTTAAAGTAAAATTTCACTTTTATTGGTTTGAAACTCGGAACACTAGTACTTTTATACTTGTACTTGTGTTTTATGTAACAATTTATTGTGACTAATGTAGACTTAGAGATCATTTTTTCCCGTTCTGTCACGTCTTTTTTGTTGATATGTTTATTAGATATTAAGTAATATTTTGAAAATTGACCTCAATTTTGAATTTTATTATTGTCACTAAGATTCAGTTATAAATAATAATCGATGACTTTGTCCTAGCATTGTATATATATATATATATATATATCTGTTAAATATTTTTCTTAAAAAATCTGTCATTTATAACCATAATAATTGGAGACTAGGTTTTCGATTGTATATGTATAGAGACAATCAGGAAACATTCTACCTCGACTACAGACAAAAAATTTTGACTTTTTTTAAAATGTGGAAAAGGAATTGAATATATGTTTGCGTCGAAACAAACCAAACTTAATTTTTTAAAAAGAACACCCTATATATTTGGATACGTTTCCATACAAATGCAGTACTAAAGTTTTGACAGTTGCAACAATCTCAGTGTAGAAGTTTACAGGGTATTTTCTTCTTTATTTGAAAATCTTAGTAATTTATTACCGCAAAAGAGTAAATACGCATTGTTTCCAAAGCAATCTTGATATTGTCTATTGCGGAGGATCAGTAAATAATTCAAAATATTCTGTAAACCATCAAAGCATATATGATATGTACCACTGTAATAATTATAAAAGGGAAGGAATTCCGAAAAGCCTCTAATATTAATTCAATTGTTTTTTATGAAAGTTTGAGAGGGTAAGAAAATTTTCTAAAACCTTAGTCTTAACAATTTTTTAATAGATGGAAGGTCAAAAATGATAAGAAAAGTAGAATGTTATGTGAAAATCCTTGTACATTAAAATCTGTAGCTTTTTCCACTTAATCAGTTAATATCTTATCACATTCCTTGTAAATGTTGTGTCATTATTGAAATAAACTATTAATTAAGGTTTCCTCTAAAACCCTATAACTTTTGGGGAGTATAAAATCGATGTTTTAATTTTGGAACCTCAGAATACTAGATTATTAAAACTTTGACTTATTCAAACGAACCAAATTAAATCCAACAATTAAATCATCTTCGATGTCGACAACTACTTTATGGTGAAACCTATTCTTTCACAACAGAGAAGAAGCATCTTGGATAATTGTGTAACTGACTTCGCCTGCTCTAGCTTGTCAACAACGTTTAGAAAGAAAATAGTATTAAATAAATAAATACTTGGCTACTAACTTGTCTAACTCTTCCGCAGAACTTCCTATAACACTGCACTGTACAGGGCAATAACACTTTTTTGAGAACCAACAATTTATAGTTCACTATAATTCTATGAACCACAAACTCTTTAATAATTACAAAATGTTTTAATGAGATGACACTGACTCCTTTTTGTTTTATCCTTTATCTGTTTGACCTCTTCTTATAGCTTTAACTGTTTAGATAATTTCTGGCAAAGTGTGACTTAAAGCAAGGCATATTTTAATGTGTTCTATCGGTTATATTTCAGAAAGAGAATAATTTCTAATAAATTTTTTCCCGATCCCTTACAAAAAACAGGACTTCACCTGTACAACATAGAGAATCAGAAAAAATCAAGTAGGTTTTTAAATTTGGAGTATGGAAATATATTTTAATTCTAAACAAGTATTCCTTATGAAATTTGTTGGTGTATTACACGATGAATGTAAACAAAGTATAATTCACAGTGATAGATTCACCAGTGGCGCACTTACTGGATGCGTTTTACTGTTTTCTTAAAAAATGACAGGCCAGTGTTTTAATAGAAATATTCCACTATTTTTAAAATCCTCAGATATTTTAATAAGAATAACTAGTATATTATTCCTAGATTGCACAGTTTTCCAGTAAAAGTTGAGTCTAACAAAATTCCATTACTTTTGTATGTAAACCATTTGCAACCTGTTGAAATTTTACATACAGGTGATAGTAAACCCGTTTTTGACTTCTGTGAGAAATAATCCAATTTTTTTAAGAAAATATTGTGAATTGATGAAATTCACCAGAAGAGTAGTTAATTTTCACAATCTGCATATTTGGGACAATGCGTATGTACATATTCTAATGGTGGGATATTGCCAGTAATACATTGGTGTCATTATTTTTTTTTAAGAAAATAGTAAAATTTATCCAGTACGTACGCCACTGGTGAATATATGAACGTGAAAATTCATAACATAATCGGAAAAACATTTTTCTTAGAAACCTCAACAATCTGTATCCGGAAAACGGAAAATAAAAAAGCTTTCCCCCTTTTCAACTCCATCTGTGGACACACTGTATACATGAAAAATGTATAGGGTGTTTCTAATAACTTTATTTTATATACTTCCGCCAATACCATAAACGAAAACATATTGTTCAAGGAACTATGATTCTGTTATAAATCACAGCATAAAATGTTAAAACATTCACCAATATTGATGTAATTATATTTTATTTAACACTGCAACCTTCGTCAGAGAAGTTAGTAGTGCATATTGCGACACCAACAAGTTTAAATTACAAAATGGAAACTGCTACTACTAGTAACGCTGAGACAAAACGTAATACATATAGGTTATTATTAAAAAAACAATGTATTAATATTATCAAATATTGACCGCCTAGCCGGGTGTCTTGGCCGATGGATTTCGATCGGCCTAGGTAAGCATCACGGACGCAGGCTGGAACTTGGATGGGTGACCTAAGGCAGGCTCGGGGACGTGGCTGTGGCATCCTACCAGAGACCTGGGTCGCTCAACACCTTCCGCCTGTGTGTGGTCCCCGATAAAATGGTAATGAGAATAGAGCAATAAATATCTGTAACTCAAGACCATTGCTTTCATACATAAAAATTGTACGAGACTTTGCCACCAAGCCACCCGTGTAGTAATAGGATGGTTTGAAGAAAAGTACTCGTTGTAGGGGATCCTAGAGTTCCCCAGAATACAGTTTGAATACCGCTGATCTAAACTAATCTATCACAGTTTTAAATTTTATTCATTGAAATTATGCTTTAAAAAATCCAATAGATACAAATTGTTTACTAAATTGTATTCAATTAATATAACTTGTGATTTGTGGTCGACATCTCGTCTACATAAAATGTACAATACAAGATTATGGTGTAAACAATAACGCTTGATAAAAATATTTTTTTTCGGATAGAATATAAGCATTTTAATACCCACTGACTTATCATATTGATACGATGAAAACTTTTTTGGAACCGCTAACTCCACCGATAGTTCTGCCTTTGGTTACAATAATACAGATGTTATCTCCCAGTTTTCCTAATGAAAACTAAATCAGAACTGATGATTAAACTAAAATTTACGACCACATATATTTACCTCCTTTTGTGTAGTACGTAACTCGGAGACGATTCCACAAGTTCTCAATAAGTTATAACAACTTTGATTATTGTTAATTACAAGCGCCGTTTTGCAGTTTCAACAATTTTGATTCTTGTCGATGCTTATTATTATTAATAAAAACACCTTTTAAACACATAATAAATCCTTTTACATTTAGTTCGAATATTTAAAAAATTTAACGTTATATATTTGATTTATGCAAATACCTACCTACATAATTGACACCATTTACTCTAAAAAAAAATACCCGATATACAGAATTGACATATAAGATATACTTTTCCAGTGAACATTTGGATGTCAATAAAATATCCGAAAATAAAAGTGTACCATGTTTTATATATGTCTGTTTTATTTGTATGTGTTATTTGGAATTTTTTTCAATTATAGCGCATGGGGGTATCTTGGTTCAAAACGCCCCGGCCTGCCCGGAACAACACGGAGTGCAGGCATACGCCCATCCGGAGTCTTGTAACCTCTTCTTCCTCTGCACCAATGGCACCCTAACCGTGGAAACCTGCGAAAATGGACTCCTGTTCGACGGTAAAGGTGCCGTGCACAACCACTGCAACTATAACTGGGCTGTGGACTGCGGACACAGAAAGGCTGACTGTAAGTACTCTTTACTAAATTTTTTCTAAAAAAAAATAAATAATAATAATAATAATAATAACTTCGACGCCACTGGGTATTTTGGACATTGGAAAAGTGCATTTAATTTCTAATAATGCTTGATATATGTATAAAACTTATTAATTTTGATTATAGCTGCGAAGTACTGCTTTTGTATTCAAAAATGGACAGTCATTTTGTTTAAAAAAACATTCGAGAATGTGAAAACGACTTCGCAACTGTGTATCAAAAAACATTTTTTGAAAACTGTTTCGAAATATTAATGAAAAAATGAGTACAAAGTGTCATGTTAGTATTAAAGATTAAGAAAAAAAATGTGTAAAATACTACGATTCAAGTGTTCAGTATGAATGAAGTGGAAAACGAAATGAATCGAAGCTTTTTGCTTTTAAACGACCCGACTCCTAAAGGTTTGACATGGACCCAGAAAACATCTTACATGGTGTACGCGGGAGCGCAAATGGCTCCATCTGTCGTGCTGACTCCCAACTGTGCCATTCAAATGGCTACAGTAGGAAGCGACCTGCTATATTGCAGGTACTTTGTTGCATGACTGCCACCCACAGAGGGCGTAGCACAATGTTTGAATTGTCAGTGTTGCAACTACTCCGAGTTAAACTGACGAACGACCCTAGCTGTTGCACTAGGTGTTGCGAGTATAATTCAATGCCGGTAGGGGCATATAGCCCTCGGAGTAGTTGTTTCTCGCAACATTGACAATTAAAATCCTACATGGTGTTTCTAAATCATGACACCAGATTTCGGGAGATAAAACTGTCCTTTAAACTTTCAGTGACTCCAATCAGCAGTCCGGGATGCGAATACCAGTTCGGACTTTACCCAGATGGAACTGAATGTTCTACCCATTATATAAAGTGTGCTTATGGAGAACCAATTCCCCAACATTGTGAACCAGGTCTGGTGTACGATGAACGCATCCACGGTTGCAACTGGCCTGATTTATTGCTTGAAAAATGCAATCCTGAAGGTAAAGTATAAGTCCTGTCTCGCAAATGATAAAGTTACAAATATTTTGCCTTATAAAATCTTCTGCTACTTTACAACATTCAATAAAACAAGGAATGAACAAAGACTCTTGTGTTCACTTTTCATTTATAAATATAAAAAAACATTTGCATTGAACATATTCTTTTTTATATTAATATTTCGCGTTCTTCTGCCTTCCGACAAAATGCGTGAGAGTCAAACAATGCTATTGGGAATATATTTCATAAATATATTAGATAAATGGTATTTTAAAGGAAAATTAATACTTTCACTATTTACTTCTTATGTATCTACGTGCCTATATCTGAATAGGTTGAAATAAAATTCTTTTTATTTAAATTTAACTTTCTCTACAAACGTAACTTAGCCTTAAAGTGTTGTTAAATTAAACAAAGAGAGTGTGCGATATTATTTTAGGGCGCAAAGAGAAATCCTATACTAAACAAGAGTAAATTGTGTAACCACAAACAAAAACTTTGGTTTTGGTGGTATAATGAAAGACAAGAAGTGGAAAATAAGTTTAAAAAAATTAAAATAGTCCACTTGCATAAATAGATTTAAAACACTTTTTTGAAATACCATATAATCTGTTAATTCACATTTCCATGATAAATTACAGTAGAATTCTAGAAATGTAATTATAATTTTTTTTTCTATTTACATTAGAATATTATTAGTTACATTAAGTTGCACTTAGCGCGGAAAAAATCTATAAGAATTAGTTCTGTTGTCTTTGAAGTGGAAATTTGCTACGTTTACAAACGGAAATTCAGATATATTCGAAAAACTGATGTTTTATGTATAGCATTTCCAAAAAAGTTGGCGTAACCAAAGCAAGACATTGATTCGATTCTTACGAAACGTTTTAATAAAGAAGTGAAAGGTTTATTTTTGTAGAAACATATTTAAGAACGACAATTAATCGTCAAAAGGTATCGTTAATTTATATTACAGGCAAGAATTTGACTTTGTTCTCTTTAATTTAAATGTAAGTATGGCATTTTTAAAATGTTGCATGAAAAAACACACAAAAAAAAAAGTTGGGTATACTTTTTATGCGACATATATTTTTCGTAGTAATTTGGCCTCCTGAACACGAATCTGGGGTCAGAATTGGCCCATCACGTCACAATTTTTTCCCAACCTCAAAAAACTTGTGAAAAATAGTGAAAATTGATGAAAATTTACTGGGAAAATTTGGAAAAAAATTTGTTTCCACATCAAATAGTACATTTTTATGTAAAAGACTCTGCTGAATTCAAATCTACTGTCAGAATTGAGCTAGAACGTGTGGTTTTTTTTCTAACCTCAAAAAACCGAGCAGGAATCGCTATTTTCAAATTCTGAGCGGATTTTGACCAGACTTTGTATAAAGGGGTTTTTTGGGTCGCTGATTACGAATATGAATTCACATTGTAAAAATTCAAGATGGCTGATCCAATATGGCGGGTGTACTTTTTTGAAATCCACCGATTTCAGTAAAATTTGGCATCATAAGGATTGCTGATTGATCTCACCTTCATTAATCACACATCTGGAGCCAGATTTTCATAAATCAAGGTAAAAGATTCCACTCCGTCTAAAAATGTGACTTCGCTTAAAAAAATGACTTAAGGACTCTACACATGTAATGATGTGTAGTGTGATGTGCTTGTTTCCATGGGACAAGACAAAAAAGTTTCTACTTTATTCTTTCATTTATTTAGTCGTGCTTATGGTTTTCCTATCAGATTTTTTTAACTACTATGCAGTTTTCCTATGGCATTTAGACAGCACATCACTGCATCTGCTTATGCCTTCATTCTAAAAATGTGACTTTGCCGAAAAAATGCCGCCTACTCGGCCTAAAATTATGACTCTGTTGATTTATGAAAATGTGGCTCCAGATGTGTGATTAATGAAGGTGAGATCAACCAGCAATCCTTATGATGCCAAATTTTACTGAAATCAGTGGATTCCAAAAAAGTACCCCCGCCATATTGGATCAGCCATCTTGAATTTTTACAATGTGAATTCATATTCGCAATCAGCGACCCAAAAAACCCCTTTATACAAAATCTGGTCAAAATCCGCTCAGAATTTGAAAATAGCGATTCCTGCTCGGTTTTTTGAGGTTAGAAAAAAAACCACACGTTCTAGCTCAATTCTGACAGTGGATTTGAATTCAGCAGAGTCTTTTACATAAAAATGTACTATTTGATGTGGAAATAAATTTTTTCCAAATTTTCCCAGTAAATTTTCATCAATTTTCAATATTTTTCACAAGTTTTTTGAGGTTCGGAAAAAATTGTGACGTGATGGGCCAATTCTGACCCCAGATTCGTGTTCAAGAGGCCAAATTACTACGAAGAATATATGTCGCATAACAAGTATACCCAACTTTTTTTTTGTGTGGCTGTGATAATTAATTACGTGAAATCATCTAATCCAACACTAAAATGTGGCCAATTGTAAAGGGTATTTCGAATTGCGAAGCCAAACTTCATCTGGTGGCAGAACACCTCAAAAAAGACAAAAGTTGCCTTAACAAGGTTCGGAAAATACAGTGTTCAAGTTAAAATCCACAAAAATAAAAAAATTCATAAGAAAGATAAGAAAATGAAAATTTACACACGCATTTCACTTTTTATCCTTTGTATGACAAAATGGCATATATGAACCAGAATGGGATAAAACTGGTTGGCCTTATTGCTCCATATTTCTTGTTGTGGCATTTTTTCATTTAGGTATTTAAAACCAAAACTAAAATTGGACTGATTGCGCAAAAAAACGCTTCGGAACATTAAAATTTAGTCTTTTACAGTAAGAATGTCTCTTCCCTTAATCAACACCCTGTATTATATTCGAAAAAAAGTATGCAATTCGAAATAAAACGCATTATTGATAGTACCTCTATCTACATTTTACTTTAAAAGTGTAATACTTGATGTACGATCGCCTAATTTTCTTTTTGCAGCTGTCGTAGGCTTCAAGTGTCCAACCAAGGTCCCATCGGGAAGCCCAGCCGCCAAGTTCTGGCCCTACCCGAGATTCGCCGTACCTGGGGATTGCCACAGGCTCATCACCTGCGTCAACGGCCACCCACGCCTCATCACCTGCGGTGAGGGAAAAGTCTTGGACGATTCTACCCTCACCTGCGAAGAGCCCGAGTACGTGCCACACTGTGCCAACCACATTAGAAAATAAGCACGAGCATGAAAAATTTCTTTTTACAAAAACAAAATTTACTACTTTCGCATTTATTGCAGCTGTCTTGTGCTCATTTTACAGAAAAAAATTTGGTCCAAATCTCTGTTATTTATTTATACTAGATTGACGAAAATTATGACTATTTCATAACTGTACAGTTTATAAAAAAAAACAAGTTTAAAATTAATATTTATTCAACAACTGTAGTGTCTCTACTTTTTCTATTATACAATTTTAATATTTCCATAACTTTTTAGTAATATTTAAGAACGTGTACTACTTACATACCTTACTTTTTGTGTACAATTATTGTAAATATTTGAAAATCAAGTACTACATAAATTAAAATTGGTATACCGTAACAATTTTTTTATATTTTTCACTTTTTCACTGTAAATATTTTATGTAAATTTTTTTGTCAAAAAATAAATTAAAAATAAAGTAATATAAAAAAATACTATATTTTAATGATGAATTGTTGGCAGTAATATCAGTCTTCTGAACATACCAAGAGAAATTCAGTTTTTTATTCTCTGAATCAAGTTTCATTCTTGGTGTTCTACAAAAATTAAACTAGCTACAAAATTATCAGGAATGCACTCATTATTACCACACCTCTTCTCATTAGTCAGTTCTATTATTTAATTAAATTTAAGAATCCGTCAATTCAACTGATTTTCAATGTCCAACAGTTATCAAATATTCAATCAAGTGTATTGAATGTAGTTACAACAATATAGTAACGAAACACTTCAGTTCCAGCCTTTCATCCAGTTAATACTTACGTTAATTTAATTGGATAAATTGCTACTTTACTACTTATTTTTTAAAATTTATTGACTTCAATTTAAATTTTACAACTCGAAATAATGAAATGCCATTAGCTTCATTACTTGAGAATTGCAAATTGAAGTTCAAAATTTTTTATTTTATTCCAAATGTGGGGGTAAACAATCTCTTAAAACTATATCTCGTTCTGAAGCTTTAATAGTGGTGTTTTCGGAACAGAATAATTATTGAATCAGAAACTTTCGAAGATATAGGTCCGAATCGTTTCTGTTTAGAAGTTACAAAGATTTAAAAAAATATTATTTCATTTCTCAATCAAAGTAGCCTGATAAACAAAAATCATGGTTGCCATAAGAATAATTATTATTTGTGTTTAAAGTTTAAACATTAGTTAAACCAAATTAACAAAATCTTAAAACTAGAAAAATTGTCAAACTGTCTCGAATGCCCTCACATTGGCGAACTAAATATTCCTCACTCGACGGATGAAATTTGGATCATTTCTTATCTGGTTAGCTGCATCCTGAATTCTTTCAAGTAACTGCTGACGGGTAGTGGTTTCAACATGGTAGACAAGCTGCTTCGTATGTCTCCATATATAAAAGGATATAGATCTGGTAAACGCGGTAGCTGTGTTATTGGACCTTGTTGATCTATCCATTTACTCGAGAAATGATTATTTAACCAAGCAGTTACTTGTCTCCCTCTGTGTCGTCCATTATGCCGATACCACATATTTTGAACAATATAGCTCTACGTCTCAATGAAATTAAAAAGGTAATTTTCCAAGAAAGTTCTATACAGATCGGCATTTAAACGATCATTTTTTACAGCATGTATAGGTGGCAAAATTATTACTGAAAATGGTACCCCAAACGTTGCTGAAATCGTTTTGATCTAATCTAATTACATGCTGATTTTGTAACGACCAGATATGTTCGTTATGAATATTATTTATGCTATCCTTAATAAAACACGCTTCATCAGACCACATGACAAGCGAAATGAATTTGTTGTTGAAGTAACCACCAACAAAATTCTAATCGTTGAGGAGTATCTCTAGCATGTAACGCTTGTACATTTTGGAAATGAAACGGATGTAACATTTCTCTGTTGAATTGAAGAGTTATCAATGACAGCATCTATTATATCTTCTTCATTTTGTACATTCACTTCACTCGCAGTAGGACGAATGGCCTTTTTTGGAGCGGGGTTACCTTCTTTTCGATGTCTACGAAATGATGCACTAAAGACAGAGTGGGTAGGTTGATGTCTATTTAGGTATCTTCGTTGGTATTCTCGGACTGCTTGTCTGGCGTTCCTATTGAAATACCTATATACAAAGACAATATTTGCACTCTGTTCAATGTCAAATGAATAAGCAAAATGACTCAAATAATAATTAGTGCTATAGCAACCATCATTTTTATTTATCAGGCTACTTAGATTTTTTAAATGCTTATAACTCTAAACAAAAACGAATCGAACCTATATTAATATAAGAAAAAATGTTTGGAATTAACCCAACTACTATCTGTCAAAGTTTGTCATGGAGTTTGTAGAACACCCTCTACCTCTATTTGAAAAATATTTGAAATGACAAATATCCTATGAGTATGTATCTTGCTGTGAGAATTTTTGATGATAACTACCAGACCTAACCTTTGTCTGCTATTATTATCTTGTAGTCTTATTTAATAATTGGTCTCTTCTCTTCTACAAGCTTATTACTAAAAAAATATCTTAATTAGAGTATAGTCGCTACGATATCAGTTGGAACCGCATAAAAACATTTAACTCATAAACTCTACGGAATCCATAGGCGTCCAGAAAAATTTTGTCCTGTCTCGTCTATAAATACTATATTCCGAGCTATATTCCTATTTAGTTGACGATATTCTCGATTTTTTTGTAAATAATCTTCCCGAAGTGCAACTATACGTCGTGATTCCATAATTACCATACGATTGTCAAGTTTTTTATGTTTACCGCATTGTAATAAAACATGTCGTAAAGTATCTAAAGATTTATAATTATAATCACGATAATCGCTTAATTTATCTCGAATCATGTTTAAAGTAGGAACTTTATTTCCTCTATACATATAAATTGTGCGCCGTATTACATCTCTGGCAAAATCGTCAATATTCTTTAATTTTATATTTTTCCGTTTCTTCGTTGTACCGTAATTAATAACGCCTCCTTCTTTAATTACGCGATAAATTGTCGTTTTTGTTATCTTAGTTAATTCGCTAATCCGTTTCCTAATTTCTTTATCACATTCTTCACTATTTTCGCTTTTCAAACATTCATAATATACAGGGTAGCCCATCGAAAACGTACCGCAAGGCATTACAGGGTAGTAATGAACTTTTCGGCAAAATCCAAAAACAGGTAAAGTTTGCTTCTTAAGGGGACAACTTTTGGCGCAAAAAGCATAGCAAAATCTTCAACCCCTTAAGTGGGGGTGCCATCCCCCAAATTTTTTTAAATGGGAATGGGGTCAAGTGGGGGGTCATTAGAAAGGGCTTTTAATTCTCTATACATCGATTCTTACTTTTTGAAAATCGATCCATTATTTTAGAAAATATGCAGCTTTGAAAATACGAACAATATTTTTGACGAGAAATGCGAAAATCGATTTAATTTTACTTCAAAACTTACGGTATTAGCTTGGTAAATTCCTTCAAAAGAATTCGCTGTTTTTTTTTTGATTTGCGAATTCTTTAGCCTGATTTTGGTGAGCAAAAAATTGTCCGCTTTTTGTTTCGTATTTAGATAGGCCACAAGAAGTTGCTAGATAACTGTCTTGTGACTTGTAGTTGAAGAGTACCAATACTGCCGAGTCTTTTAAATTGATTAATTATGGTGTACTCAATTCCAGAAAGAGTAGAAATTATTGAGCTTTTTTTCAAAAACAATGAATGCGGAAATCGGGTCGCCGAACTGTTCAACCAACGGCATCCTGAGAAACATGCGTCTGGAAAAATTGTTCGCGAATTGGTGGCCAAATTTCGCGAAACTGGCTCCGTTCATAACAAAAAGAGGCAGGTTGAAAATCCGGTACTAAATGAACCTACGGAAATAGCGGTATTGGGGCAAGTGGCAATGGATAGTACGCTGAGTACAATGCAATTGGCTACTGCGACAGGAGTGAGTCGTACAAGTGTCCAACGAATATTAAAAAAATACAAATTCCATCCTTATAAGATTCGGCTAGTGCAAGAGCTAAATGAAGACGATTTTGATCGTCGTTTGCAATTTTGCGAAATAATGACTGAACGAGCGATAAACGATAATTTCCTCTTTAATGTGTGTTTTTCGGACGAGTGTACGTTCTTCTTGAATGGTTTAGTGAATCGCCATAATTGTCGTTACTGGGCTGATACCAATCCAAGGATTTTCCATGAGACACACTCCCAACACCCCCAGAAGTTGAATGTATGGGCAGGTATTTTTGGAAATTCCATTGTAGGTCCTTTTTTCCTTCCTGGAAATTTGACAGGCGATATGTACTTGGATTTACTACAAAATGTCATCGACCCAGCTCTAACAAATATCATAGAGGACGACCCTGCTTACAATGAACACGAACTGATTTTCCAGCAAGACGGAGCTCCTCCACATTACTCGCTCAATGTGCGCAATTACCTAAATGAGACGTTTCCAGGACGCTGGATAGGACGAAGAGGTGCAATTGAGTGGCCCCCTCGGTCACCCGACTTAAATCCTTTAGATTTCTTTCTCTGGGGGCACATTAAAAGCAAAGTTTACAGCACTCCACCTGATACCTTGGAAGATCTGCGAGGACGAATCATTAATGTATGTCGCGAAGTAACACCGCAAGTGCTCCAGAATGTTCGACAACGGTTTGAAGACAACCTGTATCATTGTATGCAAGTTGGCGGACAACATTTTCAGCATTTACTTGACTAATACCGTAAGTTTTGAAGTAAAATTAAATCGATTTTCGCATTTCTCGTCAAAAATATTGTTCGTATTTTCAAAGCTGCATATTTTCTAAAATAATGAATCGATTTTCAAAAAGTAAGAATCGATGTATAGAGAATTAAAAGCCCTTTCTAATGACCCCCCACTTGACCCCCATTCCCATTTGAAAAAATTTAGGGGATAGCACCCCCACTTAGGGGGTTGAAGATTTTGGTATGCTTTTTGAGCCAAAAGTTGTCCCCCTCAGAAACAAATTTGACCTGTTTTTGGATTTTGCCGAAAAGTTCTTTACTACCCTGTATATTTAAAATAATACATTGACTGGGTACGTGTAAATCTTTGTTTTTAAACTTTGAGTTTGTTTCGACGCTTTGGACAAAACCTGGCCCGATTATTTGGGGATTTTCCCGCGTTATTGCGTTATCTTCCTTTTCAAAGGGTCTCCAGAAAGCCATGCTGAATTATTAGATAATTACATAATATATTATACCAACAATAAATGTACCACACCAAGCACTACTCTCTACGGCACTGACAAAGCCAAGTGAACCGCGTTCGACACCAAACTAATTATAGAATACCATGCAAAAAAATTATTTACGACCTAGTGGACCAATGCAGGTTTGCTTTGACGA